GAGGTGGAAATAGTCCATTTCTGGCACTTTTGGTTTAAAGTTATAGATTAATCAAATATTTATGAGTGCAGACTAACTTTAAGAGTTTAGGGGGAAGTTCCCTTTTATCTAATCAACACATTGTGTAAGGTATTTCCTTCTTTGGGTAAAATTTCTCTTTAAAAATACTCTTCTCACAAATGTGACAACCCACGTACTGAATGTTTGTGTTTCAGAGTTCGGCTTCTCATCTGTACCTCATCAGTACACCACGTGCGCTGTGTGTGTGTGTGTGTGTGTGTGTGTGTGTGTGTGTGTGTGTGTGTGTGTGTGTATTGCTGTCGGGACTGAGTGAATAGGAAGGCCGGAGGGTTGAACTTTCCCCTACTTCTCACACTGACTCCTCCATCTTTGAGTGCTCTCCGGCATTCCTGATTTATGCGGAGGACTCAGTGGCTCGCCCATTTACATTTTAACAATATTAAATACGTTAGATATTTAAAGCTTTAAACAATATACAAGTATCAGTCATTATATCTTGTTGTTTACCATTCTAAAAAACTGCAATTTGAATTTATCTTTGTATAATTTACACAAAATACAAAAAAGAGTATTCACAAGTGTTGGCATTAGGCTATTTAAAAAAAAAAAACAGTTTAATCTGTATTGACGTATGGAAAACAACTTAGATAGATAGTATTTAATTATTATCAGTGTGTTGGGGATGTAAAATGTGCATTATTTAGCGATTGAAAAACGCATGCTTAAGTTAGATGTACACTACATTATAGGTTGTATTAATACAAACAGAATATTAAGATGAAACATTTTGTAAAGCATTTTAATCGATGTTTGACTTGTTGCTCAGACAATTCAAGAAATGTAATGTTTTAAAGGTTGGCTCTAGCATATTGATATTTAAATGTAATTTTACCTTATTTGACCCACAAACTTTAGGTAGAAAGACTTGCTATGAGCATTGATAAGTGAGGAGAATCCAAGCTTTTCACTAAGTCTTTACCAGTAATTAAAACCTCCCATTGCATCATGATCAAGTCCTTATGAGGGTGACTACTTTGAAGGAATTTCCACGCCCCAGGCCTCCCCCTATTCCCTCCTCCTTGCTCCGAGAGCCAATCAGAGGAGCCCTCTGCTGCAGCCCTGAGCTATAAACCCCCCACAATGCTCTTCAGCAGCACACGACAGAGACAGAGAAACATTTCAGAACCAGCTTTCATACTGAAAGAGAATCTCAGCAGACACTAAGATGAATATGCCACTACTGCTCATCCTCTTGCTGTTCATTTTAGTGCAAGCAGGAGATTCTTTCCCCACAGACAGAAGAGCTCGGGATAAACAAGCGTCCTGGGACGACATGAACGTGGTGGCTCACGGCCTCCTGCAGCTAGGCCAGGGTCTGAAGGAGCATGTGGACAAGACCAAAGCCCAGGTGAGGGACATCAACACCAAACTGAAGACCTTCAACGCTACTGTAGCCGAACTGCAGAGGAGGCAGCAGGAGCAAGAAGAAGCTCTGAAGGCAATAAGCATAATGGAGAAGGAGGAGGAGGAAGAGAGGCTGAAGGCAGAGCTGTCACGGGAAGTGAGGACACAGAACGAGGACATCCACTCCAGGATGGACAGACTGGAACAGAAAGTGGATGAGGTGTTCAAAGAGCCGACACTGGACAGCACCAATTACACAGAGGTCTCACTCATCCAGGTGAGAGACGCATACTGTGCTCATGTTGTTAATGTGTAACTGTGAAAGAGTTTCTTATCTAAATACCCCGGCATAAAGAAAGGCATTATATATTGTAATAAAAGCTGTAATCCTGCAAAACGCTATGATGCTCTGTAGCTGACGAGACATTTTATATTTCCAGAGACTGGTGGCGGCTCAGAACAGACGCATTGACCAGCTGGTGGAGAAAATCCAGCAGCAGCAAGAAAAACAGGAGAAGCAGAGCCTACACCTGCAAACACTGCAGAGCAAGGTGAGATACACCACTTATATACAGCACGCATGATTTAGGAGGTGAGAGAACAAAACTGTCAACATAACAATTCAGCTGCAGGATTACATTAGTGTTGACAGCATCAATGTAAGTGATACGTTATAGTGTATTGACCCTGCTGTGATCCACCAGGTTGCACATAAGAGAGTGAAGTCCCACCGACGGAGAGATGAAGAGATGGCGCTGAGAGGAGAGCCAGCAGAGCAGAGAACAGACGCAACAGGTAAGAATCAAACTGTCGATCTGAGGGGAAGAAATTAAGTCAAAATGAGTGATGACTTTGACCTGTAGCCGGTGTGAGAGGCTTGACCTTTGAGTGCTGAAAACAAAGGACAATTAAGGAACCATGGCCTTCATATGTTCTTCTTTTCTGGGCATTCCTTATCAAGCACGAAAGGTATACAATCCCGATTTGAGGAGACACATACGTCGACAGAAAACGTTGTCAACATCATTAATTTTGCAACGATAGAGATGGGATGGGCAGCTCTGTGTGCACAGACACAATAACTATTCATTTATCCTAAAGTTACATAAGAGCTAAAACCTTTGAACCTTAATTTATAATACCTGACTTGCTGGCAGAGCGGCTCACCTAGAGTCCAAAGATCAGGAGAACATGAGGAGAGTGGTTTTTAAAACACGACTACTGTACTGCATGCTCATGGGACATGCAAAGAGCGAGGTGCAAAGACACAGCAAGCATGTGACTCATCAATGCTTACAGATGTACTGAATGAATTCCCCAAATTAAAACCTGCAGCTTCAGTCTGAACAAAGGACCTAATCTGAGTTTTTCTGTGTTCTGGTTTTATCAGGTCTGGCCAGAGATTGTCATGATCTGTTTGTACGAGGGCAGCGAGCCAGTGGCGTCTACACCATCCAACCAGAGAGCTCCCAACCCTTCAGCGTGCTCTGTGAAATGACTTCAGGTGAGTCAAACAGGAACTTCCCCTAAAGGTCCTCCAGTGTAGATTATACAGAACAACAACACATTCCTGAGAGAAGCAACTTTTGTACTTACAAACCACACCTGTCTCAACGGCTTCAACCACAGAGAAGAGTTTCTCTTTCTCTTAGCTTAATTGTTCCTCTCTCTTTGCAGAAGGTGGATGGACTGTCATCCAGAAACGTCAAGATGGATCCCAGAGCTTCAACCAGCTGTGGGAAAGCTATAAAACAGGCTTTGGCAGCTTGAATGGTGAGAAACTTGTCTCATAAAAGTTATTCAAACATCTGCATGATTAAACCTCAGTGGTGAATATTAATCTTAATATTTCTCGTCCCTCCAGGTGAGTTTTGGGTGGGCTTGGAGAAAATCTACTCTCTCTCTCGACAAGGCCCGTACATCCTGCAGGTGGAGCTCTCTGATTGGGCGGGAGACCAGCAGCACAACGCTCAATATCAGATCAAACTGGACGGAGAAGAGAATAAGTTCGCTCTCCACCTGGATTCATTGTCCGGGCTTCAAGAGAAAATAATGACGACTGGAAAATCTGGTCTTCCTTTCTCCACGGCCGACAGAGACAACGACCTCTCCACTGACGCCAACTGTGCTGAGCTGCTGTCAGGTACGAAACTTCTACAAATCAAAACTGTGCGAGTGGTTTAATACGAGGAAAAATGAAAAGTTGTAATAATAATGCTCTTTTGTTTCAGGTGGGTGGTGGTTCAGTAGCTGCGGTGAGTCAAACCTGAATGGCAGATATGCGAGACGGCTGAGACATCATCAGTCCAGAAGACAGGGGATGTTTTGGACGTCCACAAAGGGACAAAACTACTCTGTGAAGACGTCTGTTTTGAAGATGGCCCCCGCCACGTTACATAATTAGGCAGATCAGTCTCAATGAAAGAGCAAAGGACCAAAGAAAACTGCATTTAACTCCAATGATCCATCATGCACAGGATCATCACATATTTCTATGCTATGCCATACCGTTACTTGTTGTCATATTGACCGTTTTTTTTACTCCCTTTATAAGGGCTCCATAATCTTAGTTTGTCTTTGACTTACTATATGTGTTTTTAAAAACATCTACTTGGTAATAAACCCTGTATTATTTTTGACATTTATACACATTTTATATTTCATTTATATGAAGTGGACGAAAATAAAGTTTTTAAAAAGGTATGATAAATTCTGACTCTTCGCTCATGCTTGAAGGTGAAAGGCCACACACACACACACACACACACACACACACACACACACACACACACACACACACACACACACACACACACACACACACACACACACACACACACACACACACACACACACACACACACACACACACACACACACACACACACACACACACACACACTAATCAGGATTAGTATGAAACAGCTACTCCCTGCTGGGGAAATCATAATAAATGTTGTGCTCAATGAACAAACAGTACATTTACAGGAGAATGTCTTTTAGTCATCAGGGTCAATGTAAATGGATAAATATAAAATCTCTCTAAAGAAAAATGGTTTAAGATGAATTCCTTAACAGGTTTTCTCTTTGGTGAAAATGTGAAATGTTCTGTGGAGTCCGTGGTTTACCTACATCTTATCTCAAATATTTCCATTTTTAATAAGTGTTTTAATTTTTGATACCAATACTAATACATATTTATATTGAGTATTTCGCAGAGGTGTTAAGTAACTAAGTACATTTACGCAAGTACTGTACAATTTTGAGGTACTTGAGTAATTCCATGTACATTTAAACAACTACATTTAAAAAGGGAAATAATGTAATTTTGTTCCACTACAATTATTTAAAAAAAATGCATCTCTAAAAATGTTTTGCCTTTCCTTAAAAAGAAACTTAGGGGAAGTTGAATTCTGTTTAATCTTTTCCTTAAACTCAAAAAGCCCAATACTGTTTAAGAAATGGTCCGGTGGGGATTATAAAGACATCGATTTTTTGTGTTATTCGACAAAATAATTACATCTAAAAAACGTTCTAAAAGAATACATTTAAAGAGATGACAAAACGTAGAAAAAGATTGTTCACTTCTGTTTATTTCTTCCATTTCTGAGAGAACATTTAACCATGATGAGCTCATGGCAGCTCATCTTGCAGATGGTCATCAGACACACACGTAAAAAGGCATTTTATTCTCGTAGGTCCTCAGACAGATTCCCTGATATATACTTTACGAGCAAGGCACCTCAGACTGCCAACAGCTGTGTCATACATCATCTTATAGGTCAGTTTGTTGGCACCAAGGCAAATATACGTAATATGTGCAAAAGTCCTCAGCAGCAGAAGAAGAAGAAAGAGAAGCTCCCCGGAAAATAAAGCAAGCGAGTGAAACAGCAACATGTCGCTACATATTTCAATTGTTTATGATTGCATAAAATATTTCGTTTTACAACACAATAAAATCGTGGCCTGTGATTATTCATTTTTTTATGTGGAAAAGTGTGGCATAGCACATCAAAAGTATTTGATGGCACATGAGGGCACAGAGCACACTAGGGGATTTAAGAGCTTGCTTGATTGCTCTTTTAGAGCTTTACAATGACTAATTTACTCCAGTGTTTATTCTCAGACACAGAAAATTATAACTATATCAAATGGGTTCCAAAAAAGTTCAATAAAAAAAAGGAATGGCACGAAAAAAGAGAATACTGAGCCCAGCAGCCACTTCTGTACTTTTTGCATTGCTGATAAAGTTCTAGTAATGGAGCACCGAGCAGCATTTTGAACACAACTGTCCCACTGTGATGGTTTTTCTGTCACCGTCTGCCATCACATCAATCTCAGAAAGTTCCAGCCCTGTGTTTAGGGTGAACGGCGCCCTCTGCTTGTTACGGGGCCTGTAAGCATCCCAGCAGATTTCCCCTCACTGTAAATACAGTGTTAAGACTACAAGACCACTTTCTCTCAGAGATAGTCTCCTTTATGGTAACAATATTCAAATCTCGTATTCATTCATTGATGCTAAAAAACTAAAGCACCTTTAAAACTGCCAAACAACTATTGAACTGCAACGAGGCATAGCTTGCATTCAGCAAATCATAAAACCAAGTGAAAGGAGATGCAGGTTTAAATAAATGAAGGAAATGGAAAGAAGAGACAAGGAGAGGAGGTTAGGAAGCGAGGGAGGAAAGGTCAGTGTTTGGGAAGGCTTATCAGAGGTTCTGCTGGAGGAAGTGCAGCAGCGTAATCTCGTAATGTTCTCCAGACTCAGGACACCGGATGCTGTGTCGCTCGTTGGGATAAATCTGGGGAAACAAAAAACATGTTCAATCAACATGGGATCAGCTGAAGAGTCTTCACTTAAGTCAGTATGAATGTGTCAATCGGCTTACCTGCAGGCTGTATGGTTTTCCTGCGCGGATGAGTTGAGACACCAAGAAGTTGGTGTGGAAAAAGTGCACGTTCTCATCTAGAAACCCGTGCAGGATCAGCAATCTGTTGGGCCTGCGTTAACAGAGAGAAGGAGTTTTAGTTCCTCTGACCGTGTTGTTTACTTGTAAACATGTGGGACTAAATGTAACACATTTTACAGCTGACAGGGACACTGATCACTGCAGCTTAAAGGTACAAGTGAAATACAATCTTTGCTGTGATTTATGACAGAAGTTACAGCATAACAATGCAATCTAAAGTGGGTATTTGTCACGGATGATAGTGGACACTAACTGAATAGTAATAGATTTAGAGAATTGAAACTAAATTCCGTGTTTTCAATAGACAGCTCTTACTCATTGGGGAGCTTGTCGACGTGCAGGGCGACGGAACAAGCCTCGTAACCCTTGGGGTTTTTCTCAGGCGTGTCCAGATACCGCTCGGTGTATCCGGTGTCGTACGCCATCCACAGTGTCACCGGAGCTCCTGCGATGGCAACCTAAAAAAAAACAACAAAGAAAACAACACAAATACAGTGTCAAACAGAATACATCAAAGTTTTCTTCACAGATGAAAGACAAGCTGAAAAATGGAAGTTGAAATGGTAAATTAAAGAAAAATAGGATTATTAAAACAACTGCAATTATTTCCGTTAATCTGGTCGCCCACTTGCACGTCAGTTAGCACTCAGACAGAACAGTGGCGTTTCTGACCTTGAAAATGTCCGGTTTGTGGATGAGGCCCATGAGGGAGAGGAAGCCTCCGTACGACCAGCCGTGGATGGCAACACGACTCAGGTCCACAAACGCGTACTTCTCAGCCACGTAGTGCAAGCCCTCCACCTGGTCTTCAATCTCCACCTGACCCTGATTGGAGGAGAACAGAGAGGTTACTCCCCCACAACAACACGCTTCCATTGGCAATCTAAATAATATACTACTTCTACTAAAGTTTGGATGCAGGAGGTAGTGGCTACTCAGTGTTTCTCATTTGAAGCTACAATAAGGTCTTAAAACCTCAAAGTGGCTATTCCTCCGGACTGTGTTCATTAGGCACATTCACACCGCAGTAATTTTCCCAAAGGTTCATGAGAACTTAGTTCATGAGAACTCTTTAGTTCACATGAACTAAGTACAGATCGCGTTCACACCGGAATAATTCCCTGGGGAAGGATTAGGCAAATGAAGTCGCTGACGTCACTTCTTCTTCTTCTGCTCTTTTGGGTTTACTGGCAGGCAGCAAACAACTTCACGGCGTATACTGCCACCCGGAGTCCCCGACCGGTAGTCCCCGGAGTTGGGGACTGGCTTCAGTAGAAGCTGCTGGGACTCCCAGCAGCTTCTACTGAAGCCTTCCGAGTAAATCGCCAGAACGCCGACACCTCCTCATCTCCACCGCTCCCATGTTTTATTTTGTGTTACCATAAGTTAGCCTCTCTGCGCTGCGCTGGGCTAATGCTAATAATGCTAATGCGAGGATAATAAAATGGCGGCTTCACAAAACTTTTCCGAGTTTTACGGGGCGTGGTTTGCATTCCGCCCAGCCAATCAGACATAGGAACCTTTTTCTCTCTAGCAGGGACGGAAAAGGGGGTAAAAAGGTTCTGATGAACTCATTTTAGTTCCGGCTCTTTTTGGTGTGAATGCGACATTTCAGAACTATATCGGAACTAAAGTGGGAAAAGTGCTGCGGTGTGAAAGCGGCTATTGTGTGCTGCTGGTGTAGTACACAGGACAGGGAACGCTGCATTCATAAGGAAAACTGTCCAAAATATTTTGTCTCTTCTTCTTTTTGTCACTAGAAATAAGAATAAAGTCTAGTTTTAATTTTCTATTTAATTTTGCATCACTATGTCTAATGTTGTCTAATTCAAGGAAAGAAAGGTTGTTTGCAAAGATATTTAGTCCCAGTTTGTGTTAACAGATCGTCCCTGTGTGAGACTGTCCTGAAGCAGACGGGTGATTTGTGTTAAATACCATTTTGTCTTTCACAGCTCCTTCAAACTTGAGTCCTCTCTGACAGGAGCCTCGTCCATCGATCACCAGCACGGCGTAGCCAAGAGACGCCAGCGTGCTCAGCCGCAGGTACTTCACTCCTTTGTACGAGTTATTCACTAGCTGGACCTGGAACAAAGAATACAATCATGGTTACAGCTAGGTCTTTTGATTCCTTTTTAAAGAAAAGCTTTGACAGTCTGTTTGCTTTGACAAGACTACAGGCACAAATTAATTGCCATTTATTAAAGTAAAAAAGGACAAAAATAAGAATTTCTTAAGAAGTAAAATAATTGAACCATAAAAATGTTAAGTAAAAGTATCCAACCTGCGGTCCGCCGTACACGAACACCACAGTGGGATGCTTCCTGCCGGGGACAACCGTGCTTGGTTTGTACAACATGCCGTACAGCTCGAATCCAGACTTCCCTGTGAAGCTAAAGATCTCTGGAGGAGTGTAGTCCATTGGGAAACCTGGAAAAAAAATTATATTTAAATGCTACGGTAACTGCTTTTCCCCACGGGGATTAACAAAGCTCCATCATATCTTATCTTAATATAAAGGTCATGTAAATGGTTGTTCAAATGAATATAACAAACAGGTAGATATCAGTACTATGCTGACTTTCTATTGATGTTTGATAGTTTTCACATGCTTTGAAAAAAAAAGAAAATCCATTTCAATACATGACGTAGCTCTACTTTAGTTAGTCGAGTTAGAAACGAATGAGCCCTTATGTATTTAATATAAACATTTAAACACAATGTTGAGTGTCTCAGGTTCTTTTAGTTTTGACATAACAGTTGTCAGTACCAGAGGACTCCATCATGCTCGCCCAGAACTGCGGCTCTTTGTGCAGCGGGTCGTCCTCGGAGCCCTGTAGCTTGTAGATGTGAACGCAGGGCGCTGTGGTCAAGCTGCTGTAATGGCTGACGAACAGGTCAAAAGTCTGAAAAGAAAATGCAACACAAAACAGGGTTGACCAGTATCCCAAAACATATATAGATGTGCCGAAATCCAGGGAGAAAAATCCAGGAAAACAACACTTACTGCCACGGTTTAAAATGATATACAGTATATTATTATTAGGTTGTACTCATGAGGTTACACACCTGGCTCACTGAGCAGCTGTGGGAGAAGCCAGGTTTGGTAAGGCGGACGATTTCCCCCGGCGAGTCGTAGCTGACAACATAGAGGTGATGCTCCAGAGGAGAGTCTTTGGTTCCCTGGAAGTAAACCTGCCTCGCTGCCTCGTCCACCCAAATCTGAGGACTGGACGAACGCTGCACACACAGAGCAGGAGAAGGTTTGTGGTTTTACTGACGAGTGATTTTGGAAGATAATTAGTTCTGCTCTGGATGCAGTTTAATGTCAGCAAAAAGATTTTTGGGCAGCACTTTACCTTCGCTCCGTGATTGGCCAGCACCTCCCACTCCCCACTGGTGATTGTCACCTCCTCTTTGACTGGACACTTGAAATCATCTGGTGTGAGAGGAGAGAAGGGGAGTGAGTAGGTTTTGACAGCAAAGGCAATATGAAATAACATAATGCAATCAGTTTGTCACTGCCTGGCACAAATCTGTTTTTATTATAATGATTATTTTATAGTTCATTATCTTTGTCTGTTAAGCCTCATCGACACAATGAAATAAGCCTATGAGCTATTTTTATACAGAAATAAAACATTCAATAAGTAACTCAATTGACTACGACCGATTACTCAAGACTGATGAGTACGTCTGAAACACCTTTAAGGGCTCATACATATATAAACAAAATGAAAGGCTGAAAATTATAAAAGTCAGAGATCCCATCAATGCTTATTGCTCATTGTTAAAAAAGTTTCCCCAGACTGGTTGAATTATGTTGACTGTTTACTGTTGGGCTAAATTAAAGTGGACCTATCATGCTAAATTTGAAACATATATTGTAGGGCCATACCTATACAAAACACATCTGTGAAGTTTTTTTTTCAAAATACCAAACAGATAACCCATTGTAGCCATGCCTCATACTGCTCATACCCCTCTTTTGAAGCCCTGTTAGAAAAACGCAGATTTTGGGTCTTTAGCTTGAAAAAAAGAAAAGAAGAGGAGCCGGAGCTAATGCCTGATCAGAATTCTACCGGAGATAAAGTTAAATTCGGTTGTGATAAAACGCCATCCTGTTTAAACCACGTCAAGGATTATTTCTGAAACAGTATGGAGCTCAAATGCTTTTTCTTTTGCAGGTTTATCACAAGGTGAGTTCCTTTTTTTATTTCCTGCTTTTTAAAAACACATGTGCTCTACAGTACAGGTTAGTTATGAGTGTTAGCGAGGCTTGCTAATGTAAACCTTTGTTTACATTAGCAAGCCTCGCTAACACTCATAACTAACCTGTACTGTAGAGCACATGTGTTTTTAAAAAGCAGGAAATAAAAAAAGGAACTCACCTTGTGNGTCTAACTCTAATGGATACGATAGTGAGGTGGGCTGATCGGAAGGTTGCAAGTTCAAAATCCTGCCTGGAACACCACTACTAGTGTGCCCTTGAGCAAGGCACTTAGCCCTCGGTTAGTCCGGTGCCCCCACAAATAGAATCAAATTCTGTGGGAAACACTGTAATCACAATGTAATCCAGCAATCTGTATTTACAAAAGACATGTGCATGTAAAACATTGATTCTTTATACCTCTGAATCATGGTGGTTTCTGAATGATGTGATGCAAGATGATCTTGTTACACACCAACAGGTTACAGTTTCAGCACACCGACAGCAGACCATTACGCTCAACAGGTTCCTGCTCCGCCCACAACTCCAGGAACTGCACCTCTGGGCTTTGCTTCCGCCACCACACCGACTCAGGACTCGAGCAAAGCTCCCATTGGGCAGCCTGACTTCCCCTATTGCCAGTATGGTAAGAAAAGCATTGTGCATTAAGCAGTCTGCTGGCCTTCTCCCTCCCATTTGGTTTTTATTCTCCCCTCGGCCCTGCCCATTTCCCTGGATTTTTCATTGGAAGCAACTACAGCTCATTCAAATGCTTACCTAAACTCTGAGACAAGCAGAAGCTTGCTCCTGGAACCATTCAGCTTGAACTGCTCCACATGCATACATGCTTCTTGCATACATGAAGCCCGAGGGCTGTGCAGTGAAGATGCTGCTGAAGATTCCTCATAGCCTGGAGTCTTCAGCAGTCATTTCTTTCAAGTTTCTGTGGATTGATGAAAAAATATGTGTAGGTTTGAATTAGATCATCCTGCCTGGCAATGTTTTTTGTTTTGCATTTTTATTTTATTTATATTTTCAAGGGAGTGAAAGCTTCTCCTGGCAGACTGCAATAGACAGTTGACGTGGTTCAATTATCCCTACCTTGTAATTATCCCACCTACACCTTCTCTCTTCTTTCCTGTTGATGACTTTGCTGGCTTCCTTTCCTGATGTTGGCACGACAGCCGTAGAAGAGCCCCAGCATGACAGTTTTACGCCTGTGAAACCTTATTTCTGGAATTAGTCATGTCCAGCCTGCCAAGCTACCTATCAAAAACTTACGACATGTCCATCATTTTATCGAAACCAGAGCTTTGCATGTTAGACCCTGTGCCTTTTAAATACATGCACAAATTACAAGTCATACAGTAGATTCCTTGGCAAGTCATTTTTTGACTATTGTGTCTGTAGATTTTACTTCCTGTGAGTGTCTTTGTGGTCTTTTAGCTGGACTGTGTTCTGCCATGATAATTATTCCTCCTGGATCTCTTCTGGGCCAGTAAATCCTTGGCTTAATTTCAGTCAGCGTGAAAGGACTTGAAAATGACAGATTTCATCAAGCCACTTCGAGAAACTGATGTGCTTTATTAATTTCTGTGATTCAAATAATTGTGAGGTAGTTCTCCGGTGACATGGTCTATACACATGAAGACAGAGATACTGTAAAAACTAGCCAGCATCCATGGAATATGAAAATGCTTCAGTCAACATTCACACATTCAGTCTCATAAACACACATCGGATAAGAGTCAGATGTTCATTCTGAGGCTACATTCAGTTTTTTTGGCTGGCTGGTATTTTTCTTGGCTTACAGCTGCTTCACACTGCTGGAACTGCATTTAAAGCAGTCATGTGATCAGGATAGTCATGACAAGTGCCCATCTTGTTCAGTGTTTCCTGCTTGTGCTTATCTTCCATCCAGCTTTTTGCATTTAGTGTTCACTGCCTGACCTGTCCAGGCAGCATTTAAAGCCGCAGAAGCAACACACTTTTTTAAAATATATAACCGCTAAAGATTTTTTCGGATACCACACTCCTCTATAGCAAGGACTGGATATGACATTTTTAAGATTAGTAAATTGGGAAGAAATCTAGCAAGTTTGGTTTCAGGTTAGGTTTGGCCAACGTAAGTAAAGTACGTAGTAAAGTTATGCAAGTAAGGGAGTTTGGGGAGAGTTGACTTCAAACCAGTAGTTTTGCATGTTTGATTCATTGATATTTCAATTGATGCCACTTTATTGATGCATACCATACATTATTGATGACTCCCACCTTCCAGGCAGGCGCTGGCTTTACTTAAATGACAGTACACTCACATTCGAACACCAAATTCAGTGATATATTACAATAAACTATTTTTTGTACATAATTCAAGAACACAACTTTGACAGCTCAAAAGCAACTTCTTCACTTACGTTTGTCCCTATAGTTACAGGAAATCCATATATTTTCAAGACTATAGCTAACCAGACAAGTTCTTTTTGGTTACTTTAGGATATTAAAAGAAAGTAGAGTTTAGAGAATGGCCAGTGCTTACGATGGGAGTACACAGACCAATGGCAAATAATACCACATCGATACATCAAGTCAATTTCAAGTTGATTGTCATAGCATTCTGAATCAATGACTGCTTGGAAGATAGGAAATCTCTCTAGGTTATGGCATTCTTTGGTCAATGGCTGGCAGCAATAGGACGTCTATGCAAGTCGTATTTTATAACTACAACAAGCCAAACACTGGTATGTTTGTTGTTCTCGTTACTCTCCCTCGTTGCTTCCCTCTTCCAATATTTTATTGTTAGGAAAAACACATTTTTCATGTTGCAATTTAACATATCATGCACATTTCACTTAATTTCATGAGGCCAGGCGGGCACGATTTGTGAGGAGCACTAGCAGATAGCTCACAAACTCACACTCCATTTTGTTTGACTTCCAGATAAGGCTGAGCATTGGTGCCTCTCCAGGCGTAGTGCAGTTGCAGTGAATGAGTATAACTGTGCAGCTCTTTAAGCTCAGTAAGGGGGGAACTTTGTAAAGTAGTCGGCCAGCAGTATCTGGGTTCAGTCAACCTGGTCTCCTCATCTCCCTGATAGGCTTGGGTAACTACCTTCAGGACCCCTCTGCCTACGGACCAACGCGTCCTTCTCACAGTAATGGTCAGGATGAGCAGGGAGGATATAGTGCAGGTAGGTGACAGCATTGTCTTCTCCAACCACAACAGTAGCATTTGTTCAGTACTATAGTGTTTATAGAGCTGCAACATGGTTCTTTGCCTCTTTTCTTTTGCTCTGTGTTTTTCGTATTTTGCATGTACATTTTGCATGTACATACAAATTACATTGTATACTCTTGTATAGTAAAAAAGCAGCCATCAAGTGTCAGCTGAGTGGATTTAAAAGACATTCAAATGGATTTGCATCATTCGGGGCCCAAAGCAGTCCTTTCCCTCAGTGGCTGAAGCTTTACTATACCAAGACTAACCATGTCCTCATCGTTTGTCCACCCTCTCTGTCCGCATTGCTTTGCAGATTATACAAGGATGATCTAATTGTCAGAAAATGTGTTCATGGTTCAGTTGTCTTTATGCATCAGCAGCCCATTCACCCGTTGTGTTCCCCCATGTAATGTCTCCATATTATAGCTAAGGGGATGAGAAAGGAGAGAAGATTCAAAGAAGGACACAATAGCAATACATTTTCCAATTCCTCTCTTCCATTGGTCCTGTTGGGACCACTCTCTGTTCATCAAGTACCTGTTTATGTTCCGCTCATGGAGCACTATAGAAATGTGATGTATTTTCTAACTTTACCTGCCATTTTTTTCCTTTCTGTCTTTCTATCTGTCTCTTGTATTGTCATTCCAATTATTTATAATGTCCCAACTCCAGTGTTATTAGGGACAATTTCAAAATCACTACAAACTGATGTTTCTATCACCCATTTGGTTCGCAAACCACTCAGTTTTTCGCCCATCCCTTTAATGTCCCTTTGGCTTGGACAGTGGCTGGGGAGTTTGGGTTGCCCCAGCCTTTTTTCCAGTCAGATCAGTTTCCTTCCCTTTGTGTCACTTTGGTTTCCCTGTCTGTTTGCAGGGAGATGGTGCCATCCAGTGTCTGAATAGAAGAACATTGATCATCAAGAGAATCTAGAGATTGTTTTCCTCAATGAAGCCTTCTTACATTAACTGAAATTATCAAGTTTGTCTATATACATTTTAACAATATTGTTCAACACTAAAGAGCTCATTGAAGGAATACAGTATTTGCATTTAGAGGGAAAATCCACCATGAAACCTTTACATTTTGTACACAACATGCTATTAGCGGTGCATATTTAATTTCTTTATCTATTTATTTGTTTGGTGTGTCACAGTTCTTGTAGCACAAACACATTTCAAAGCCCAAAAAATAAAAAGTACATATTTTAGATAGATAAAACAATATAGATATAGTCAAGATTGAATTACTAAACAAAGTAAAATTGGGAGAATCGTTTTGATTCAGTAGAGTTTCTAAAAAATGTATTGTGTAGTGAAAAGGTTGACGGGTGGATTTTGCCTTTTCCATTAAAAGTTGTTTTACTTAGCAATACTTGTAAAGAAGTAAGGCTTCTCCCCAAACACTGTCCGGTGTCCCTGACATTAAAGTCCTTCTTTCCCTCTGCTCTCTCCCGTCTGTCGTCCTCAGGGTACGGGCAGGACCTGACCGCCTTCAGCCACACCTTTGCAGACCCCAGCCAGCCCACGGCTTCCTACGGGACAGCACAGCCCGTCGGCCCCCAGGCCACTGCCACTGCATTTGGCAGAGGGCAGAACCACAACGTACAGGGCTTCCACCCATATCGACGCTGACCACCACCTCTGGACAGGGCAGCTGTGTAAAGTGCAGAGAAAAAAAAAAATAGAAGTCAGGGAAATGTGTTCTTGCTAAAAAGCAAAACTGGAGTTCGGGATTGTTCTGTGGGAATGTTGACTGCACACAGTTTGTGAAACAGAAACGTTTGTGAAAGCAGGGATTCCAGTTAAGTCAAAAGGGTCTAAAGAAACCCAGGTTTTCTTTTTTGCATAACTTTATGAACATTCAGCAGAATGAAGCTTTTATCCCCCACCCACCCCATCCCATGTTTTATAGTAGGACTAAACTACTTTGCAATAATTTTGATTGTCTGGTCAAACACTAGCACAGAGACATTATGTAAAGAGACTTGCATATAAATATGTATATTTACGGTGGACACAAATGAAAACAGGGTCTCAAGTTTCCTCAGCTTTAAATTCTAGGGAAAAATGTTTTTATTTTTCATTTGGTGGTTTTGTTTACTTTCTGAGCCTTTAAAGTTTGTTTAAAATGGAGATTATGAATATATATATATTATACACAAACTGTGCAATTTTTTAAAAAGAGAATTTTGTACTATTAATGTACACTTTGCTTGTTTTTTTATTTAAAGATGTAGACTTCCCTCAGGTGGCTCTTTTGGGTGCATTTTTTGCACTTATGCAAAAAGAAAAAAAGGACAAATTATTACAAAAATAAATGTTTTAAGGATACAGTCTTTGTCCCGGTTGTGTTTGTATTTGCTTCTGGTGTTTTAAGGGTAAAATCTAGAAAATAGAGATGAAACAATTGGTTGATCATTTCTTAGTAGATTGAATCAGCCGTTTTTTTTCAAGCAAAAATGGCACAAAAAGTGGTTACTGCATTTCAAATGTAAAAAATGTGCTGCTTTTATCTGTTTGATATTAATCGAAACATAAGTACATTTCTCACCTGGCTCTCAAAAACTGTGAATATAATAAATGTCGAATTAACATATAATGAAAATAATCATTTTACAGGCTTAACTTTAACGTTGTTTTGTTTTTTTAATTACGCTTTTTTAAATGGCTTGGTATTTTTCCAAAGAAAACGAATTTGAGGGATCACATCCGGGTCACAAGATATAGCGTTTGATTTCCAAAACCATTTCCGTGTTCTCTTAGCATATTAGCATTTAGCAACCTGCTCTGTTGAATTATTTGCACGTAATTCAGACCCCGTTCGTTGTTTCCTAAAGGGCGAATCCTCAACACAAGACAGAAAGTGTAAGCTCAAAATGAATGAGTGTGTATTGCTTGCTTTTGTTTCTGTTTCGGTGTATTAGCTAACGAGTGTTTGGATAACGTTAATGGGCGGCTAACTGGCTAGCTCCAGGCTACGTAGAATATACACAGTGTGTTTTAATTATTATAACATAGGTAATTATGAGTCTTTGTCATGTTTTATGGGGAGTACACATGTGTCTCGACCAGATGTTTTCTGTGTGGTGTGAAGCTGTCTGTGACTATGCAGACTTCATCAGCTGAAGTGTCAAAACGAAACTAATAATTAATTGTTAAACAAATGTTATGTCATTGTCGTTGTAAATGGATGCTAGAAAACATACAGCATGTAATAACTGAGAGGATAATGCCAGATATTATGTACTAGAAAATACCACAAGGGGATATTTACATGAATATTTCACGAGTAAATTATACATATCGAAAAGTAGGGCTAAAAAGCAGAAGTCATTGAAGTCACATGAACAGGTAACGGATAAAACAGTCAGGCGGAAAGAGCACCCAGTTGTTGGGGGACACCGTGGGAGAATAAACTGGATGTATTCACCAGGTATTCACCATCTATCCAGTTCACGGAATATTGTTGTTACTTTCGATTTAAACACTTATGAAAGACATTCTCAGACCTTTATAATAAAGGACAAATGCAAGCATCAACATATCCTCAGAGTACCAATAGGGAAATAATTACTTGTGCAGAATGGCCCATTACTGAATAATTCGCATTGTATTACTGAGTAATAATCAATGATGGCTGTTTTTATCACTGCAGCTTTTTAAAATATTATTTTTAGCATTTTGGACATTTAAATAGGCAACGTAACTAGCAACCCAAGTTGTCAAGTCAATGTAATGAAGTGAAAAGTACAATATTCCCTGTAGTGTAGTGTAGTGGACTAGAAGAATAAGTTAAGTAAATATAAAAAATATACTCGCCAATGCTGCTCAGAGCAAACACATCTTCACATTAAGAACTAAACTTAAATTTGCTTTTAATACAATATTTGAGATTGTCTTGAAACATTCAATAATTATACTTAAAAAAAGAAAAGAAAATCTAAACCACACTTAAAAGGGTTTTAACCTTAACCCTATCTCACGGCCTATATCCGCAGGAGGAGTTTGATCAGTTGTGACCTGGGCTTTCAGTCACGTGATAAAGGGGTCAGATATAAGGATAGATTCTGCATTCAAATCCACTTTAATCAACTCATCTTAAATGTACAAGTATGGCATTGGTTCTTCCAACACAAACATGAATTGCTAGAAGGGAGCCGCTGTCGTGTTTCTGGGAAACAACTTCTGTAGAATTTGCACTTTATTTTGGCCCCAGGGAACAGAACAGCCTACAGTAAAATGTGGAGCGACAGTGCAACATTTGCCATAGTTATAACACAGACGCTGAAGTGTCAGCATCATGCAGCTGAGTCACACTCAGTGAGACTCCATTTCAGGAACATACAGCTGGAAATATGGTAAAGGCAGCCGGCTGTAGAGCAGCAGCAGCTCCTCCATGAAGCAGCAGATAGACATCTGCCCTGAGCAGGGTCTTCACTTCAGTAACAGTTTCACTTTGTTAGCATGTGACCTTAGCTTACGACTAGGTCTAGGTTTTCACATGTTGAGTTTTGTGTAAATAATTTGATTGTCAGTTAGACCAGGTGCTGCCATGTAAATAGTCTGAAACTTGTCTAAATGTTCAACATCTCCACTCCCGTGTGTTTACCTGGTTTCCCTCAGGGTGTCAGGTCTGGTCAAGGGTCGTCGAACAGTTAATGCACAGAGTAAAGAGGCGGAAAATTGAAGATAAAAGAGAAGACAGCCCTGAAAGGTATGTGTCATTTTAACCTTCACAGCTATTGGTAACATTTTATTTATTTTCATTATTATTTTTGATCAATGACATTTTTGGTCTAAGAAAGGCATTTTTTATTGTATTTGAAAATAACCTGGAGGTTCAAATCTGTCACAAGACATTGTAATAGTCCTGGAAAAATGTATCATGTTGTATGCTGACTAAGATGTTAGGTTTGCACAATCAGTATCACTTTAAATCACTTCTGAAAATATTTATAAAATTAAAAAAATGCTTTTAATAAGCTGTTAGAATAAAGTTCTTATATTTTTTTAATATCCTCTATTTGTTTATTTTGATCTTATTTGATAGGATTTTATTATGGGTATTCTGTTTTCTATTCCATTATCTTTACCATACTAGTGTAGCTTGACTTTACCAATAAGCACTATATAGAGCTAAGGCTGATGGGAATGTCCTTTGTAGCTAATATAATGGATCATGAACCACTGTATTCTGACCTGCTGGTGGTACTGAAAAGTGAACTGATCATCTTTAGGAAACAACCTCAGTGGGACGGGAATGTGTGAACCTAAATTCCTGGCAATCGCTCCAATAGTTGTTGAAGTCCTTTTGGACCAAAGGATTGGACCGATCACCTGACAGATTGGCACCTCCATCCATAAAAAAAATAACATTTAAAAATCACTTTAACAAGATTATACATTTAGAAGACCCATACGTAGTCTATTTTTTTGTTAGAACGTCCGACTTGGTAGGTCAAATAAGCCAAACTCAATCAAAGATTCAACCATGTTTGGCAGTTTGCTTGTGGTACTTTCCCTCTGGGATTTGCTGTAGCTGTGTCTGATCAGAGTTCCTGTCTTCAGCGTCAGACTGGCACTGGCAGGCATGACGGGGCCTGAAGAGCTCTCTGACAGCACAGAGGTGGTGGAAATGGATGACGTGAATCCCAATAGGTTCCAGGTGGAGAAGCATACCTGGGATGGCCTGAGGAAGATCATCCACAACAGCCACAAGAACACACGCGTGGTTATCAACAAAGCGCCACACGACTTCCAGTTCGTCCAGAAGGATGAGACCAGTCCGCAATCCCACCGCATTTACTACCTTGGTGAGCTGGGGACAGAAATGTAGTATTTTCATGCAGGCTCTGAAATGAGTACACGCTAATGTAATGTTCTACTCGTATTGTGAAAATACAGCTGAGATAAAGTGCTGTTGGCTTCAGCTGCTTACTTTCTGTCTTTTGGAAAACTAGCATGCTTCTGTGAATAATATGTGGATACAGCTGGTGAGTCACAGTTGTAGCCTGCAACTGGTTTCAGGCTCATTTGATATCCACCGAGCTGCAGTGGATCAAGGCTGTGTGTGCTTGAGCATACCTCTAACTCAACTAGGAACACAGATTACCTCTGAGGCCATCTTTCTGCTTTTTCTGTTGCAGCTGTAGTGCACAGAATCAGTAGAAAAGTGTTGCTGCTCTTTCCTGCTTTTCCTAATGTGTGTCAGTTGTAGTGTGTGATATCATTTCCAGAGCTCTGTCAAATGTTATTATTTGCCCCACACATACAGTCTGGAAGACCTGTACCCATGTAGCTCTGTTGTTGACTTTACGTGTGTTTGTGCTCTCATAGGAATGCCTTACGCCAGCAGGGATAACGCTTTACTCTACTCCGACATTCCCAGGAAGGTCCGCAAAGATGCTCTATTGGTTTTGTCATGGAAACCAATGCTGAATCACTTTCAGGTGAGAAGGACATTTAATTCATTCTGACACTTTCACTTAATTTCTATGGCGTTCACACCCCCCGTGAATTCTTGAAGAAATCTTTATTCACCTGCCTCTACATTGAATACAATAATCAAAAATGAATTGAAGTAAATGGAGGCTAACTTGTTCGCTTAACCATTAACTGTATTAAACGTTTCCCCATCTAGAGATTGTTTATGCACAGGTGTTTAGAAAAGTTCAGTTTTAGCGTAGTTACATGTGTTTTGGTCTTTTTAAAACGACTCTTTTAAATGTTCCCGTGACGACAAAACAAGCTAGACCACTTTATTTCCTAACAGAAGTTGTTCCCGCTGAAAGGAGAACATAAGAGTGTTATAATCATTGGTACCGACCAATTATCTCTTTAATTCAGTGTGGTAGCGTTTTCTTATGGTTTGTTTGTTTACCATGCCCTGAACAAACTCACTTTGACCCGCTCGGCCATCATGTTGTGTGTCCTCCTGTCACCCTGACCTCAGGCCAGCCCTCGCGACGGGAGCTTCTCTCGGGAGGAGGAGCTGCTGCGAGAGAGGAAACGTTTGGGGGTGTCTGGCATCACCTCGTATGAATACCACCGACCCAGCGGCCTCCTGCTGTTTCAGGCCAATAGCAGCCTGTACTACTGCAGCGACGGTGGAAACAACACTTTCACCGTGAGTTTCACAGCACTGTCAATGCCAAGTCACGCAGTGCATAATGGCTAAGATTGCTAATAGGTCACTACCTAAATAATTATCACTTTCGGTCCTTTAACAAGAAATTGCATTACAGAAACACGAAAAGGTATATTGGAGGTCATTTCCAAACTTTGAATGTTTTGTTAAGTTTCTCCAACAGAAAGCACTGGCAAGGATATTTTTCAACATCTCAGTAAAAATCTTAATCACAGTGAAGACAAAAATAAAATGTCAAAAAATGGTGAATACCAAAGAAAAAGAAAAACCCATATAACTCCAAAATGTTCAAAACATAAAAAAAACAAAACAACAGTGTTCAACTTATGAATGCAGACAATTATTTGAGCACACACATGAACACTTGAACCTCTAATTTATTTAGAAAAATATAGAATCTGAACCTTTGGAGACACCTTTTTACTGGACAGTGACATTTAAAAAATCTTCTAAAATCTCACTCTTGGTCAGACACAAGATAAGAAAATTAGGACTTGTTTTTACATCTTTACTGACTTTTGTTGTGACCTCAGAGCTAACCACTTCATGTGTTTGTTCAGACTACTCCAATGCGTCCTGTTGAGATTAAGAGCGAGAGTCCAGGAACACGCATGGATCCCAAGATCTGCCACGGGGACCCCAACTTCATTGGCTTTATCAACAACAACGACATCTGGGTGACCAGCATTGAGACGGGGGAGGAGAGGAGGCTCACGTTCTGCCACAAAGGTCAGGGCAGAGACGGTCAGATGATCCTGGAGAGTGTTACCTGGTGCTTTGAGGTTTTTCACAGTGTTTTTATTTGTCTCTGTACTGACATAGGTATTGGTAACCCAAAAGAGGACCCCAAATCTGCCGGTATAGCGACGTTTGTGACTCAGGAAGAGTTTGACCGTTTCACCGGATACTGGTGGTCCCCAGCTGCTCGTGAAGGTGAGTGAGAAAAAGACACATGTTGTATCTTAGCAAGGAGAACTTATTATCAACAATCATCAGTCAAACAAAGATGGGTTATAATATACTTGAATAACACATTTATTTATGTGAGGATTTGTTCAGGTTCTTCCAGAGTCAACGTTTTTCAGAATGATCCTGATACCTTTTTAACTTATACTTCTCCCGTGTGAGAAAAACGTCTTTGACTTGTTTTACTGATTTTTTTTTTTTTTTTCCTTCTCTCCGGTTCAGAATCCGATGGGGGTAAAACTCTGCAGGTTCTGTACGAGGAGGTGGACGAGTCTAATGTCGAGATCATTCATGTTCCATCTCCAGCTTTGGAAGAGCGCAAGACCGATGTCTACAGATACCCATGTGCAGGTACACAGATACAGATATAAACTAAAAACAGCTTTTGTTTTAAAACGCATAACTTTTGCTATGATAAAGCCTATCATTTACACTACACTGGTATTGTAGAATCCCTGAAAAAATTGAGAATTGCTGCTACATAACCCAGTTTTGTTTTGTCTCCAGGCAGCAAGAATCCCGACATTACTCTCAAAATAGTAGAAATCAGGACTGACAATCTCGGCAAAGTGAGTGCTTATTCAGTGCCATCAAATATAATGATTACCAGAAGGTTCTTTTGAAAGAGATCTTTAAATGCCGGCTTCATGTCTCCCTCAGATTATCAGCACACAGGAGAAGGAGTTGCTTGCTCCCTTCACCAGCCTGTTCCCTTGGGCCGAGTATATCACCAGAGCCGGATGGACCAAAGACGGCAAATAGTAAGTCTTTTGTCTATTAAAGTTAGAAAAATCACACTGTGATTTTAACGGCCCTACCTCTTTAAATTATCTTTAAACTTTGCCAAGCTCACGAAGCCCAGAACTTAGTCACATGACATCATTCTGCATACTGCGCATGCTTATCACCCCTCCCTCTGTGTGTGTCAGTGCGTGGGCGGTGATGATGGACCGGCGGCAGCAGCGCCTCCAGCTCGTCCTGCTGCCTCCGGCGCTCTTCATCCCTGCTCATCAGGCTGAGGCCAGCAGGCAGGAGACCCTGGAGGCCCTCGGAGACTCTGTCCATCCCTTCATCATCTACCAGGAGACCAGCGACATCTGGATCAATGTGAGGGTTCTGTTCATACTGAAGCCTGAACGTTTCTTACTTTATGTCCCATTCAATAATGATGCTCCCTGAAGTTAGTTATTTTTTCGGAACGTTTTAAGGTCTGTCCCGACTAGTTTGGAGTTTCGAAAGCTCTGATTAATTTAATAACCACTTGGCGCATCACAACTACATACTGTGATTGTGTCTGGCTCTTGTGATCTAAACAATTCCCGAGAACTCCAGGGCGTTGTAAAGTCCAAAAGTCTAGACTTTTAGAAAAAGATAGATTCTAAAATGCTTGTCTTACAAGAAAGAAAAGTGTAAAAAACCTAAATAGTTAACCAATTCTGCAGCTTCAATGTATGATTTATAAGAGTTTCTAGTGAGAAACCCATCATGACTCTCTATTTATCTTTCAGGTCCACGACATCTTCAATCCGTTGGTCCAAACCAGTGATGAAGAGATCACCTTCGTAACCGTGAATGAATCAAAAACAGGGTTCTGCCACCTGTATAAGATCACCAGCATGTTGCAGCGGGGCAGCTACGCCTGGGCCAACGGCTACACACACTCTGAAGGTAACATCGTCACTGAGCACAGGCTGGTACCAGCAGGAATACTTCACGGGAAACTTATTGTGAAAAAACCAATCCCCATAGTTTTTTACTTTAAAGGGGACCTATCATGCAAAATGCACTTTGTGATGTCTTTTATACATACATATAGTATGTGTCCCCGGTGCGTCGGGGAACTCACGCCAGGGCTCTCGACTAACTTTTTTCACCATCCTCCCGGAACCGTCCCGAAACACAATCTAAGCCGTCCCGAAATTAATGTGGACCGTCCCGAATTTAAAATATTAGTTTTTCTACTACTTATCATTAGTTAAAATCATTCAAAGTGACCTTTAACATAAATAAAACATCATACAAATCATTAGATGATAATTCATCAACCTTTTTATTTGAGTAAATCAGTCAATCACATGAACAAAGGCCAAATAGACTAGACGCTGATAAAAAAAGCCGCCCGCTGCCCTCAGGACTCACGGCCGCCCACGGATCCCGAGGGACGCGTAGGCGTGTCTCCAAATTACCACCACACACACACCACACACACACAACACACACACCCACACACACACCCACACACACACAACACACACACCACACGACTACTCTGGGGAGGTAGCACACACACACAACAAACACCTCACGAATCGGACTTACCATACGACCGCGGAGAAGGGAGCTACCAACAACAAGGGGTAACATACCCTACGCCATGGCTCGGCAACACACGCCCGCAAATTCCGGAATTCTTGTCCCGAGGGACGGTCGGGGGCTCCGCGCGCACTTAATAATTGCTGCCGGTTGTTTCAGACCTCAACACACACACACAAAACACCAAAAAAAACAACCAATTCCAGCACACAGACACAAACACAAATAAAGACACAAAAAACACATCTCAGATATACAATTTTACTCATACAGGTATACATCATCTACGATGATAATTTGTACCATAAAATAAGAGAAAAACATAGGTTGACGCCACAACAGACTTCACTACCCATTCACTCCATCCACTGTATGACTACCGCAGATACTACCATACTCAACAGCTCGAAAGGTTGCAGGTCTGCTCGGTATCGGGTGCCGCAGGACCTAGAGAGAGAGGACCAGACACATCGCTCTCCGCCACCCCCCCCCCCGCACCCCCGTCTCACACATTTCCCAGGTCTGCCCCAGCAAGCTGAACACAATGTCCCTGCACAGACACGGACGACAATCACACATGACGACGCCACCGTACAGAAGCTCCTGTCTCAACCGCTAACTCAACACAAATTACCCTCACTCGCAACACAACTACAGTCCCTCACACTCCATCACAAACAGCACGCAACACACCACAAC